AATTAAGCAAAATAGGATAACTTGAAGAGTGTATAAATCTGTAGTGGAGGAAAGGAGGGGTAGGGGCTGCCCTAGGAAAGGTTGGAGGAAGAGGGTAAAGGAGGTTTTTGTATGCAAGGAGCTTAGATATCCAACAAGCATGTGAGAGTGATAGGAGTGGAGGCAAGTGGTTTTTATGACTTGACATGATACTGGAGTGTATACAAGGTAACTTTTATTAAGGGATTCAGGGAAAACTGGTTAATTGGATTTGAGTTTTGAAGGTGGGAAGTACAGTGACTTCACTCTGAAAGATGGGTGGGGATACTGCAGTTTAGAGGGGTATCTGAACTGTAACATCAGAACATCTTTGGCAATACAGTAATTGAGCGAGTGGTGGTGAGGGTATTTCTTCTCTTTCGGTTCACTACAGCCTTGATGGGAGACGGCTGGTGTGTTAAAAGTAAATTTCCAAGGATAACCCAAGGAAATCCCACAATGTGATTTACTTCCATATTTTCAGGGGTATTGCAATTTGAATCAATTGTATTATCTTAGGATTTTCTTGTATATACTGTCATACGACAAAAGCTCTCAAAATAAATATGATAAACAATTATTTGTGCCAATTTATATTAAGTAAAAGGACATAAATGCAACTAATTTGACATTTTATTGTGGCAACATTTCGCTCTCCAGGAGCAAAACATTGCCACAAAAAAATGTCATTAGTTGCATTTGTGTCCTTTTACTTAACATATTGTTGGTAATTCTACCAATATTAATATAACCCAGTTCATATTGTATATTCCATGTGGGGGCTCTACCAGGCTAATCATCTCCCCATGTTTTAAGCATTAAAACTCTTGAAACACCTCAAGCATCATGAGAAACTATTGTACATAATGTTAGACATTCAAAATAGGGAAAAGTTTTAGCAAAACTTATTTGCAGTAAATAAATGGGATAACAAAAATATCCTATGCACATTTTTCTGACATTGTTTATGGGTCAGCTTTTGTTGCCAACTTAAATCCACCATAAATTGGCAAGTTTTCACCTTGTTTCAGTTTTTTTTATTCCAACTGAAAAATGGACTCTAAAAAGGTAAGATTTTTTTTTTTTTTTTTTTTCAAAATTTTACCCCACTCACCCGCAACACTTTTTTTCTGGGTCTCCCAAGTTTGAATGTTAAAGAAATGAACGCTGAGATAATTAAGTGGTCTGAAAAGTATCAGTATGGCAAATTCTTTAAAAGTATGCAAAGATATGAATTATTTATTTATTATCACACCGGCCGATTCCCACCAAGGCAGGGTGGCCCGAAAAAGAAAAACTTTCACCATCATTCACTCCATCACTGTCTTGCCAGAAGGGTGCTTTACACTACAGTTTTTAAACTGCAACATTAACACCCCTCCTTCAGAGTGCAGGCACTGTACTTCCCATCTCCAGGACTCAAGTCCGGCCTGCCGGTTTCCCTGAATCCCTTCATAAATGTTACTTTGCTCACACTCCAACAGCACGTCAAGTATTAAAAACCATTTGTCTCCATTCACTCCTATCAAACACGCTCAAGCATGCCTGCTGGAAGTCCAAGCCCCTCGCACACAAAACCTCCTTTACCCCCTCCCTCCAACCCTTCCTTGGCCGACCCCTACCCCGCCTTCCTTCCACTACAGACTGATACACTCTTGAAGTCATTCTGTTTCGCTCCATTCTCTCTACATGTCCGAACCACCTCAACAACCCTTCCTCAGCCCTCTGGACAACAGTTTTGGTAATCCCGCACCTCCTCCTAACTTCCAAACTACGAATTCTCTGCATTATATTCACACCACACATTGCCCTCAGACATGACATCTCCACTGCCTCCAGCCTTCTCCTCGCTGCAACATTCATCACCCACGCTTCACACCCATATAAGAGCGTTGGTAAAACTATACTCTCATACATTCCCCTCTTTGCCTCCAAGGACAAAGTTCTTTGTCTCCACAGACTCCTAAGTGCACCACTCACTCTTTTTCCCTCATCAATTCTATGATTCACCTCATCTTTCATAGACCCATCCGCTGACACGTCCACTCCCAAATATCTGAATACGTTCACCTCCTCCATACTCTCTCCCTCCAATCTGATATTCAATCTTTCATCACCTAATCTTTTTGTTATCCTCATAACCTTACTCTTTCCTGTATTCACCTTTAATTTTCTTCTTTTGCACACCCTACCAAATTCATCCACCAATCTCTGCAACTTCTCTTCAGAATCTCCCAAGAGCACAGTGTCATCAGCAAAGAGCAGCTGTGACAACTCCCACTTTGTGTGTGATTCTTTATCTTTTAACTCCACGCCTCTTGCCAAGACCCTCGCATTTACTTCTCTTACAACCCCATCTATAAATATATTAAACAACCACGGTGACATCACACATCCTTGTCTAAGGCCTACTTTTACTGGGAAAAAATTTCCCTCTTTCCTACATACTCTAACTTGAGCCTCACTATCCTCGTAAAAACTCTTCACTGCTTTCAGTAACCTACCTCCTACACCATACACTTGCAACATCTGCCACATTGCCCCCCTATCCACCCTGTCTTACGCCTTTTCCAAATCCATAAATGCCACAAAGACCTCTTTAGCCTTATCTAAATACTGTTCACTTATATGTTTCACTGTAAACACCTGGTCCACACACCCCCTACCTTTCCTAAAGCCTCCTTGTTCATCTGCTATCCTATTCTCCGTCTTACTCTTAATTCTTTCAATTATAACTCTACCATACACTTTACCAGGTACACTCAACAGACTTATCCCCCTATAATTTTTGCACTCTCTTTTATCCCCTTTGCCTTTATACAAAGGAACTATGCATGCTCTCTGCCAATCCCTAGGTACCTTACCCTCTTCCATACATTTATTAAATAATTGCACCAACCACTCCAAAACTATATCCCCACCTGCTTTTAACATTTCTATCTTTATCCCATCAATCCCGGCTGCCTTACCCCCTTTCATTTTACCTACTGCCTCACGAACTTCCCCCACACTCACAACTGGCTCTTCCTCACTCCTACAAGATGTTATTCCTCCTTGCCCTATACACGAAATCACAGCTTCCCTATCTTCATCAACATTTAACAATTCCTCAAAATATTCCTTCCATCTTCCCAATACCTCTAACTCTCCATTTAATAACTCTCCTCTCCTATTTTTAACTGACAAATCCATTTGTTCTCTAGGCTTTCTTAACTTGTTAATCTCACTCCAAAACTTTTTCTTATTTTCAACAAAATTTGTTGATAACATCTCACCCACTCTCTCATTTGCTCTCTTTTTACATTGCTTCACCACTCTCTTTAACTTCTCTCTTTTTCTCCATATACTCTTCCCTCCTTGCATCACTTCTACTTTGTAAAAACTTCTCATATGCTAACTTTTTCTCCCTTACTACTCTCTTTACATCATCATTCCACCAATCGCTCCTCTTCCCTCCTGCACCCACTTTCCTGTAACCACAAACTTCTGCTGAACACTCTAACACTACATTTTTAAACCTACCCCATACCTCTTCGACCCCATTGCCTATGCTCTCATTAGCCCATCTATCCTCCAATAGCTGTTTATATCTTACCCTAACTGCCTCCTCTTTTAGTTTATAAACCTTCACCTCTCTCTTCCCTGATGCTTCTATTCTCCTTGTATCCCATCTACCTTTTACTCTCAGTGTAGCTACAACTAGAAAGTGATCTGATATATCTGTGGCCCCTCTATAAACATGTACATCCTGAAGTCTACTCAACAGTCTTTTATCTACCAATACATAATCCAACAAACTACTGTCATTTCGCCCTACATCATATCGTGTATACTTATTTATCCTCTTTTTCTTAAAATATGTATTACCTATAACTAAACCCCTTTCTATACAAAGTTCAATCAAAGGGCTCCCATTATCATTTACACCTGGCACCCCAAACTTACCTACCCACACCCTCTCTAAAAGTTTCTCCTACTTTAGCATTCAAGTCCCCTACCACAATTACTCTCTCACTTGGTTCAAAGGCTCCTATACATTCACTTAACATCTCCCAAAATCTCTCTCTCTCCTCTGCATTCCTCTCTTCTCCAGGTGCATACACGCTTATTATGACCCACTTCTCGCATCCAACCTTTACTTTAATCCACATAATTCTTGAATTTACACATTCATATTCTCTTTTCTCCTTCCATAACTGATCATTTAACATTACTGCTACCCCTTCCTTTGCTCTAACTCTCTCAGATACTCCAGATTTAATCCCATTTATTTCCCCCCACTGAAACTCTCCTACCCCCTTCAGCTTTGTTTCGCTTAGGGCCAGGACATCCAACTTCTTTTCATTCATAACATCAGCAATCATCTGTTTCTTGTCATCCGCACTACATCCACGCACATTTAAGCAACCCAGTTTTATAAAGTTTTTCTTCTTCTCTTTTTTAGTAATTGTATACAGGAGAAGGGGTTACTAGCCCATTGCTCCCGGCATTTTAGTCGCCTCATACGACACGCATGGCTTACGGAGGAAAGATTCTTTTCCACTTCCCCATGGACAATAGAAGAAATAAAAAAGAACAAGAGCTATTTAGAAAAAGGAGAAAAACCTAGATGTATGTATATATATATATGCATGTGCGTGTCTGTGAAGTGTGACCAAAGTGTAAGTAGGAGTAGCAAGATATCCCTGTTATCTTAGCGTGTTTATGAGACAGAAAAAGAAACCAGCAATCCTACCATCATGCAAAACAGTTACAGGTTTTTGTTTCACAGTCATCTGGCAGGACGGTAGTACTTCCCTGGGTGGTTGCTGTCTACCAACCTACTAGCTCAAAAGTGTGGCAGGTTCTATAAAGAAGTGTATTTCCCTCTAATGAACACATGAAAGTGAAACCTGTGCATTATAACAAGTTAACAGAGAAAACAGTGAACAAATAAACAATATTACAAAAATGACATGAAATTCTTGAGAGTCCCCCCTTACTTCAGTCCAATGATCTGATGGTGATTGAGTTTGTCTTGATTTTCTCGCAGATCTTCAATTGTTGTGATACCCTCATTGACTAACTCCCGTGCTTTGGCTGGTCCAATGCCAGACACACGTGTTAATCCTGTGATGGCAACATTTGTATCATCACCACGAATCTGGGAAATATTATGTGATTAATTCAATTTATAAAACTTGTAAGCACATACTAAAGAAAACATATTAAGAGAACCCAAGAAAAGGCACATACAATTATAAAATATATAATACTGTATGTGTGTATGTATGTATGTTATGTATGTATGTATGGCCATCTCCCACCAAGGTGGGTGGCGGCCAGTGTGTTAATTAAAAAACTAAAATAAAAATTATATTTTATGTATGTATATATATTTTTTTTTTCACAAACATTAATCTCAGGCCAAAGGAGACTCGAACCAAAGAACCTTCGGACAAGGTACACAGAACCTCAGTGCGCAAAGTACACAATACTTTGGCGCCCAGCTACGATTGATGTTTTGGTCAAAAGCAGCCAGCATTCAGGTTTTGAGTTTTTCATCTCATCCCCTGCATGCATTGACCATCAAAAGATTTTTACAATGTTTGGAATTTGCAGAATAAGTTAAGTGAAATACTGTATGCACAAACACTAATCTCAGGCTGAGGGAGACTTGAACCCACAAACTTGGGATAAGGTACACAGTACTCTACTCACCGTACCACAATGGTCCAATACTTTGGTGCCCAGCTACGCACGATCATCCGGTTGCCTTCTGAAGTAGGAGACTTGGTCCACTAATGTAGTAGACAAACAAACACTAAGAATACAATATTTTAACCTGTAGTACTACAGTACAGTGCTGTACTGTATAGTAATTTTATAATACTCAATGCAATTTAAATTAATTTTACTTACTTTTTGTGGTGGAGAGATGAGGCGTAAACTGCTGTGATCAATAGTGGTGACTAAGAATAACTTTTATTCTGAGTCAGAGGAGCTGTAAAGATCTACTAGTGAAAATAATATAGATGGCTGAGATGTACAGAGCTGAGATGTAGATGGCTGAGAAGATGTAGATGGCTGAGATGATGTATAGGGCTAAAATGTAAATGGCTGAGAAGATGTAGATGACTGAAAAAATGTATATGGCTGAGAAGACATAAATGGTTTGGAAATTGTTGAAGTTGGATACATTCTTTGAACTCGTTCCTCTTTCAAGTGCTTACAGTGTTGGTGCTGGTCCCTTTTGATGCATTCTCTTCTAAGAATTCATAAGCATGGATAATGGGCCTTTACTTCACTTTTGTCAGAGGTCAGTGTATTTGACAAGAACATCAATTGTATCTTGTACAACTGACATCTCTCAATCTCTATTTTTAGCCTCATCATTATCACTAGACAAACGTCGCAGATAGCGGACTTGCTCTGATACTTCAGATAATGACTAGAAACTATCGCTATGGACAAAATGCGAAATTACGGACTTTTGTCCAATAATTAGTTTGTCCAGCCCTTTTTTCAGTCTAAAATTGCCAAAATCTGAGGTTTTACTACCTGTGCATTCGAGCATAAACAATCTGAAATCTAAATTGTCAACCCTACAAGTTACAACAGACAAGCAAGGACAAAGCAAAAGAGCAGGCCATCAAGTCTACTGATTAATGACTGTGTATTATTATCACTACATTTATGGGTTAGCACTAAGCTCACAGTGGTCATACAGTGCCTAGAAGCATCTTTATTTAAACTGTGAGATAAACATAATATTTACCTTCTTCACTTTGCTCATTTCTCCTGTCTTGATGAATTCATCAATCTTCTCACTAATCTTGCTCCCCACGCCCTTCAACTTCTTTGCCTCACTTCCGCTCTCAATTCGAGTTGGATGTTGGGCCACAGCAGCGGCTGCATTGCGGTATGCATTATACTTATGTATGTTACGATTTACATTTTTCTCGTATTCTGCAATTTCTGAAAGATGAGTATGGAGAGAGTTAATAAGATTAAAAAACAAACAGGCACAATATCATGACAGGAACAAATAACCCAAACATAGGAGAAAGAAGCTTATGAGGTTTCCTCTTCACAACAAGAGTATGCATAGAGGTATATTTCCTGTTAGACTGTTATGTATTTAGGTCAGCCACATATGAAGGTATTTTGGTACATATAAGCACTGTGTGTGTATGTAGCAAATATACACCATGTGATCAATGAAAAGCATAACAAATTGTGTGAAGATTGCATACATGCAATATCTTAGTTGTAAGATAAGTGATAAAGATAAAACATGGGCTTCAAGCCATGGGTTCCCCACCATGAGTTCCTCACCATGGGTTTCCCACCATGGGGTCCACACCATGGGCTCCCCACTATGGGTTCCCCACCATGGGCTCCCCACCATGGGCTCCCCACTATGGGTTCCCCACCATGGGCTCCCCACCATGGGCTCCCCACTATGGGTTCCCCACCATGGGCTCCCTACATATGCTACACTGTTTGTACTTCTGGACTGACACAATGACACAAAAGAATTTAATTCTATCATGATCCTTATGTTGTGAGCTTTTTAAAACATTTCATTCTTCACAGTATTAATATAACTCTACTGTGTAAGTAATTTTAAACAATTATTATCTTCTTAATTCATAATGTTTATAATGAAAATTGATATAGTACATTATACCTAGAGGGTGTTCCGGGGGTCAACGCCCTTGGGGTCAGGTCCAAGACCAGGCCTCGTGGTACCTTTACCTTTGATATACCTTTGATGAGTTTCAAGAATCTCACTACTCTTGGAGCTCGGCCGTGGCCCAGGCCTGTCTGGTGCTTGCCTGGTCAACCAGGCTGTTGCTGCTGGAGGCCCACTGCCCCACATATCCATCACAGTCTGGTTGATCTGGTCCCTGTTGAAGATACTTGTCCAGTTACCTCTTGAAGGCTTCTACACTTGTTCCAGCCATGTTTCTGATATCTTCAGGTAAGATGTTGAATAGTCTGGGGCCACAAATGTTGATACAGTGTTTCCTTATTGTCCCCACCGAACCCCTGTTCTTCATTGGGTTTATTTTACACTTCCTCCCATATTTCTCACTCCAGTATGTTATAGCAGTGTGCAGATTTGGGATCAGGCCCTCGAGTATGTACTTTCCAGGTAGAGTATACTGTTATATTACACAGATATATTTGCCATGTTTTGGTTATTACACTATTGAAAAATTGGTCATAATTTTATACAACACTTGGTAAAATTAACTTAACACGGTTCCATTTGAGGCCAGGGAAAATATTTTGGTGAGGCCATTGTGTCAATAGGGGAGACCCACCGCCATCCCCTGACACCCCCATTCCAGCCTTAGTGAATACTGTCCAGTACGATTCTCTCCTAGGAGTTAGCTATGTTAGTGAATAGTGTTTTGATTTTTTAACTGCCATATCTTGTATCTGCCAAGCAATTGTGGCACCCAGTAGGCATATGAGTGTTGCTGAAAGTGGCAAAAAAAAAGTTTAGGCATTTAAGTCTTGGAGTTACAAAGAAAATAGAGATATTAGAAAAGAGAGCGCCTATGGCCTTAATGAAGCTTCAGTTTGTACAGTTAAAAAGAATGAAGTAAATATACAAGTTTGTGTAATGAACAATCCAGGGTGTCATCTCACTGACTTACTGACTGACTTACTGACTTAATTACAGACTTACTTACTGACTTACTTACTGACTTACTTACTGACTTACTTACTGACTTACTTACTGACTTACTGACTTACTTACTGACTTACTTACTGACCTACTTACTGACCTACTTACTGACCTACTTACTGACCTACTTACTGACCTACTTACTGACTTATTGACTGACTTACTGACTTAATGTTAGACTTTTTCACTGAAGAGGACCCTGACAAATCTAGAAGCAGTGCTCTGAAATAGTGTCTAGAGCAGCTGATGACTTACCATCAACTGTATAATGTGCTGCAGGGTAAAATGGTCCAGAAATTCATTACAGAATTTATGCACACTCCAGTACAACCATCGATTTCAGTACCAGAATCTCTACCATCTGCCTCAGCCCAGTAGGGCCACAGCATAACTCTCCACTCTCTTGACAATCATCCACAAACACCAGCACCCACAATTTAAGGTAAGAAATACTATTATTTCTTTTGAATTTGTAGTTCTAAGCAGTAAAAACAGCATAGTACATCACAACAATGAACAACAATTACATATTCACTTTTATTTCTGGAAGACGTGGTCTAAAAAAAAGTTGTTTGGCCTTTTGGGGGCTCCCAGGAACATAACCCTATTTTTGCCATAAGTTCTTCTGTTGATCTAACAGGGATTTACTTAACACAGTGTTTTCAGGAACGTAACTACCATGTAATATAACGGTGTACTGTAAACAAACCATACCACGGGTGGGGTTTGAACCCGCGATCAGAGAGTCATAAAACTCCAGACCGATGTGTTAGCCACTGGCCCAGCTAGCTACAGTAAGATTTTCAAATTCAAATTCAAATTCAAAGTTTATTCTCTATAAGGTTTACAATGCTGAGTTTACAGAATTTGGTTATTGTGTGGTTTACATGTAGTAAAATAATACAGAGTGTACCACTAGAACACCTAGCATGGCTAGGCATTTCGGGCAGACTTAAATTAAATCTTAAGTTTAAAATATTACAAAATTATGAGGAAAGTTGGTATTATGGCTAAGTGACTAAATACTAGTTTGTGAGTTTAGCAATGTGAATGCTTTTGTTTTGGCACTATACATAGTTTCAGTATTGGAGTATCACAGGCCAACTTATGACTAGTTAAGATTCATTATTTTGAGATTGAGATTGATATTTCTGTTTATGGTCAAATGGGTGAGTGAGTGTAAGTGTTAACCACCAGGTGGTATTCGTGTAATTAGTTGACAGGGTGTATCAGGGAGATAAGATGTTTTCTGATGGTAGTTTTGAAGGTGATGAATATGTCTGCAGTTTTAGAATTTTCAGGTAGGGTGTTCCAGATTTTAGGGCCTTTGACATACATTGAATTTTTGTAAAGGTTTAGTCGGACACGGGGAATGTCATAGAGATGTTTGTGTCTGGTGTTATGCCTGTGGGTTCTGTCACAACTATCAAGAAAGCGTTTTAGGTCAAGGTTAATATTGGAATTTAAGGTCCTGTACATGTAGATTGCACAGTAGTAAGTGTGGATGTACTGAGCAGGGAGTAAGTTTAGATCTATGAAGAGTGGGGGGGTGTGTTGCCAGGGATGGGATTTGGTGATTATTCTTACTGCGGCTTTTTGTTGGGTTATTATTGGCTTTAGGTGTGTTGCTGAAGTTGAACCCCAAGCACAGATAGCATAGGTGAGGTATGGATATATAAGTGAATGGTATAGTGTGAGAAGGGCAGTTTGCGGCACGTAGTATCGTATCTTGGAGAGGATCCCAACCGTTTTGGATACTTTTTTGGTTATGTGTTGGATATGGGTGCTGAAGTTCAGGTTGTTGTCGAGGTATAGGCCTAGGAATTTGCCCTCATTATGCCTGGCAATTAGAGTGTTGTCAATCTTAATGTTAATTTGCACATCTCCTGCTCTGCTACCAAACATAATGTAGTAGGTTTTGTCAGTGTTAAGCATAAGTTTATTGGCTGTCATCCAAGTCAATATTTTGATCAGCTCCTCTTTAACAATGGTGTTGAGGGTGGCAAGATTAGGGTGAGAGATGACATAAGTCGTGTCGTCAGCAAAGAGAATGGGGTTCAGGTGTTGAGATTCATCCAACAAGGTATATTTATACACCATAGGAAGGTTAGCATAGGCACCACTGATCACAAATGCAAGTTTTTACAGACGAATCTCCTGCTAGCGTGGCCGTGACAAACTCTACTCAAATCCTCTCAAAGCCATCAACATGACTCTCTGATAGCAGGTTCTAACCTCTCCCATCATATGGTTTGTTTGCAAATGTGTCATTACGATTTTGTGAGTTGGGTCTACTGTACATGTATATATTATCATGTATCTCTCCTTCGCTCCAGTGAACACATGTTCAAGACTTTAAGGCATTCCAAGTACAGTGGACCCTCAGCTAACAATGGCATCAGCTAATGTTAAATCCAGCTAATGATACATTTTAATGCAAAATTTTGCCTCAGCTAGCACTAAAAAACTCACCCAACGCGATTCATTCAAGACGCATCCACGTGTGGCCTTAGCGCGCCTCAGTTGTCCCGTGGGTGCCAGTATTTACAAGCCAGCCAGTGCGGTCGCATCCATGCATACAATCGAAACATTTCATATTATCACAGCGTTTTTAGTGATTGTTTGCAAAATAAGCCACCATGGGCCCCAAGAAAGCTTCTAGTGCCAACTGTGTGGTAAAAAAGGTGAAAATTACTATGGAAATGAAGAAAGAGATAATTGCTAAGTACAAAAGTGGAGTGAGTGTCTCAGAGCTGGCCAGGTTATCGCTACTATTGTGGCCAACAAAATGGCAATCAAGGAAGCTTGTCTTGCAAAAGGTACAAGTTTGTTTTCGAAACAGAGATCACAAGTACTCGAAGATGTTGAGAGACTGTTATTGGTGTGGATAAACGAAAAACAGATAGGAGATACCATCTCTCAAGCGATCATATGTAAAAAGGGTGGGAAATACGTACTATCGTACCACAGTCAGCTGCTGCTGCACCACCATCAGCTGTTGCTGCACCACAGTCAACTGCTGCTGCACCACGGTCAGCTGCTGCTGCACCACGGTCAGCTGCTGCTGAACCATGGTCAGCTGTTGCTGCACCAGTCAGCTGTTGCTGAACCACAGTCAGCTGCTGTTGCACCACAGTCAGCTGCTGCTGCACCAGCATCAGCTGTTTCTGACCAACATGACTAGTCCCAAACCTGTCCATCCAGCCCTGCCGTCATTGTTTACAAGCCAGGGTGGCCGGTTGCATGCATACATTCGATACATTTTGTTTTATTC